TTACTACACTGGGAGTCTTCGGCCGGTGGGGATTGAACATATGACCTCTTGGACAGGGGCCCAGTGCCCTACCAACCAGGTTATCCCGGTCCCTCAAAGCTACATATTGCCAATAAATAAATAAATAAATTAATTAATAAATAAAAAAATTTGCTTTGTCTGTTTCTTGAAAATCTTTTTTAACGTTCATAGCATGAACAATGGAAGGGGAATAGTTGTCAAGCTACTTTTCTCGTAATCAATCGTGAAACACTTGCGTTGTTTTTTGAATTGCAGGACACTATATGTTTCAGTTTTGTCCACGTTGTCGCAGTATTTTGATTATTTTTTTTTCATCCGGTGTTAAAAATATTCCGCTAGTAATTCAAATAGGCATTCGGTATTCAGCTAGTAATTTAGTAATTTCATTTCAAGTACATATAAAATGGCATTTTTTAGTTTTATCTTTACTGTTGTAATAGTATGCTGTATTACAATTTGTTTTTAGCTACTAAGAGATAAAAAGGACTAAAAGATTATGGACTCTTACTTGAAAATTGTCAGTATGTCTTCGCAAAAAATAAATAAAAAAAATTTTTAAATAATAAAGTTAGAAAAAGTAAATAAACAAAATAAAGTTAAACAAAAAGTAAATAAATAAAATAAGAAAAAACAAATTAATTAAAAATATACAAAATTTGTGATGAAAGTGTATTTTTTTATTATTTCGATTTATGTTTTCTTTTTTTTTTTAAATGGCGNATAGTAAAAGTATTAGGCCAACAAATAAATAGGTGGATAAAACGGGATATAAAAAAGCTCTATCCCGTTTTATCCAACTCATAAGTATCCCGTTTTGTCAGACTCAGACACTTTTCAAAGCAAACATGGCTGCTGCCTAAACGTGAAAGAAAAATTAGATTGACTAGACATGAGAATACTCGTTAATAAATGCTTCATCAAATGTAATACTCACCGGAATTGTGATCCAATATATATAGGCAGTACAATGTGAAAAACTACGCACGTAACTGTGGAAAGTGGCAAAAAAATGGAGTAAAAAAGTTCTGACACCTACAACTTTCTATCAACTAGTGATCTCGAGACGGTACGCACTGAAAATGATGTAATCACAGTCAAATAACAAGTTTCTGTCGTCGTCCGCTAGATAGCTGCAATAGTCTGGTCTCTAGGCCATGTATCCCGTTTTGTCCGACTATCCCGTTTTATCCAACTCTCCCCTATATTTTTTTATAATCATTGAAATAAACTGCACAGCTGACCCAATTTTGGGTTTACGACTACTAATGTTCAACTCCGTAGCCTTGTATTTTTGAACCAATCCAGAAGACAAGGAAACCCTTGGATCAGTACCCTCAGTGGTATGATTTGTTATGGGAACATAGAGGACCTTGAGACTCGACAGATTTAGCGTACATCAGTCACCATTAGTCGCCAATAAATAAATAAATAAATATAAAATTTTGCTTTATCTGTTTCTTGAAAATCTTTTTTAACGCTCATAGCATGAACAATGGAAGGGAAATAGTTGTCAAGCCACTTTTCTCGTAATCAATCATGAAGCACTTGCGTTGTTTTTTGAATTGTAGGACACTATATGTTTCAGTTTTGTCCACGTTGTCGCTGTATTTTGATTATTAACTTTTTTTTCATCCGGTGTTAAAAATATTCCGCTAGTAATTCAAATAGATATTCGATATTCAGCTAGTGATTTAGTAATTTTATTTCAAGTACATATAAAATGGCATTTTTCAGTTTTATCTTTACTGTTGTAATAGTATGCTGTATTACAATTTGTTTTTAGCTACTAAGAGATAAAAAGGACTAAAAGATTATGGACTCTTACTTGAAAGTTGTCAGTATGTCTTCGCAAAAAATAAATTTAAAAAAATTAAAATAATAAAGTTAAAAAAAGTAAATAAACAAAATAAAGTGAAACAAAAAGTAAATAAATAAAATAAGAAAAAACATATTAATTAAAAATATACAAAATTTGCGATAAAAATGTATTTTTTTTATTACTTTGATATAAAGCGCATAAAAAGAAATAATAATTAAATAAGGGAACCACTCTAAATAACTTAGACCCATTATTATTATTTCCATTATTTGATCCATTTCTTAATTTTGATTTTTTTGACGTATGCGGATTTCTGAATTTCAAAGTATAGGTGGTAGCAGCAATCTGAGAAATAAGGTCACAATAGTTTGATCAGGAGAGCGGTGGAAAGATTCCTTAATTAACATTAAGGAATCTTTACACCGCTCTCCTGATATACTTTTTGAATATTCTCCTGATATACCTTTTGAATTTTTATATTACTTTTTGAATATTTTGACATATCTCAAAAGAAATCCTTTAAAGAAAATTTAAAAATTTTTCCACAAAATTATAATTTTTTTTTTATCCAAGGATAATTCCATACAAAAATCAACTTTCAGTAAATATTTATCATTTTTTATTGTTTCGTTAATTAATTGTTGAGAAAGCTTTGAATAGCAAGGTACGCGATTTCTGACATAATTTTAAAGAATTAATTTTGAATTTCAAAATGCAAAATTTGATTTACATTATGAATTTTAGCGATTTCAAAACGTCATGCATGCTTTAAAAGCTTGACTGTCTATATCTGAACAGAATGAATGCTCACTTTTCCATTAAGTTTTTTTGTGTGTATAATTTGTTAATTTCGGAGGAAATTGTTTATGTTTCTTGTCATAATTAATTAATAAGTTGCGTTTTAATTAGTGGAACATGATTTAAGAATCAGTTTCGTTTTTATTTTACGAAGTCTTAAATAAACTTTGTTATTGTACTCTATAAAAAATATTTAATTATTCTGTCATCACTCACTCATTATTTTGTACGAAAAAAAGGTATGAAGAAATTTTTTAAAGTTCTATTTCAATGTCATGATTCATTGTTAAGCTTTAAAATGTTTGGGAATCTTTGCCCTTATCACTTTGCTCACACATGCATGTAAGATTTTTATTAGTGGTCAATATCAAAACTTTGAAAAACTCTAGCATCCGGATTACGATATTGGTGGGACTTAGGTTGTAAGTTATATAGGCCCTAGTAATTTTATTATTACTGCTCATTAGACTAAGAGAATTTGTTCTTAACTGAAGAGGAACTACATTAATGATTGATGATTTTTCTAGGAAATGACCATATCAAGAATTTTTAACGAAAAATACCAACAAATTTTTAATAAAATATTGTTATCGTTTTACCTATTCCACAGTCGCTCTAGAAAAAAACCCATTATTGTAAAGTAACCTTTAAAATCAGCACGTATTTTAGATTAGAACTCGGGCAAGAAGATTATAATCTATCATGCCCCTTAAATTTCTTATTTAATTGTTTAGTTTCTCAGATTGGATCTCGTTGGGCTTATTATTCTATTGAAGATAATATTCTTTCTTTTATTTCGTTTTTATCTAAATTTAAAATTGATATTTTATAACAGGTTAAATGAATACTATGTGTATAGAGATGACACGTGTGTAGAGATGAAGTTTTTGATATTTATATGCGTCCTTATACTGGTGCAATAGGTGATGATTTTGTGCTACAAGATGACAACGTGACGACTCACAGGGACAGTTTAGTATGTAATTATCTTTAGTAGCAAACAATTCAGAGCATCGAGTGGCCATTTCGATCACCAGACTTGAATCCTATCGATCATGATTGGGATGCTTTGAGAAGACGTATATAATTGCTCTCTATCCTCGCCAGATCCTCAGACCTATATAATTATTTTTAGTAGCAAACAATTCAGTGCATCGAGTGTCCATTTCGATCACCAGACTTGAAACCTATCGATCATGGCTGGGATGCTTTAAGAAGACGTGTAGTTGATCTTAATCCTCTTTAGACCCTTGCCACGCTTGCAACTACTTTTCAAGAAAAGGGGCACGCATCTCCAATGGAACTGGTTGACCGCGTAATTGAGAGCATAACACATCCATGCAAGTGTTGAGGTTATGTGCTAGAGTTAATCGTACTCCATACCGAAGGTACTTTCTTTATTACGAACTGACTTATCTGATTTATTCGTTTCATACATATGTTAATTTCGATATGATTATAATTGACTGGTTAACACTTCTTATGTTGGTTTATACATTATTACGTGTACTATAATGTATGCCAGTTTCATTAAATTCTGTGCTCAAATTTTTGAGTTATGCTGATTTTTGTCGTTTATCATTAATTTATGAGAACCAGTGTATTTTATGAGTGTAGGTTTAGATAAAAAACAAAGTCAATTTTCTTCCTTTGTTTCTTTTTTTTCCTTTTAAGCAAGTCGTTTTTATAATTATTAAAAATAGTGTTTCTTGAATCTCTAGATATCAAAAAATCTTTGAGCAATAAATGTATAAAAAAATACATTCTGGTCACAGATTTTTTAGAATTAGTTCAGCTTATTTATAATAACTTCATTAAAAATAGCATTTAATAAAGTGATTTTTATTGTGAAACTATTTTTTTGCGATAAGAAAATCGCTTATTATGGCGATTTTCTGAAGAAAAATAATATTTTGTGAACTTTTTAAAGCTCTTAATATTTTAAAAAGTTAAGGAATATTTTAATTAAGACAGCATCGGTGATTTTGAGAAAGTGAAACCAAATTATTTTCTAGTTTTAAAAACTCAAGATAAATTTTATATTACTCTGACTTACATTTATAAAGGGTATAAAATGATTTCATTCATCTGAAATTCCTCAACAAAAGACACTAGGCACTCAGAAAAAAAGAAAAACGAGATGAAAGAAACTCCTAAAAAATATTTTTTTACTTAGATAAAGAACTATCTACATTAAATAAAATCGTTTTCTTTTATTAGCAAACGAACATTGAAGTTGTAAGCAAACCTTTTAACTTAAGTCGTCTGACATATTTCATAAATTGTTATTCCATTCCGTTTATGCTCTTATGACATATTAAATTCACCCGGCTAGGAGTAAACAAAATACGTCAGCAGATTTTCACAGGTGAGGTAGGGTCAGACAGGTTGTATAGTGTCTGCAAGGTCATCTACTTTTGTGCCTGATTGGCTTATCTCTGAAGGCTTGGCTCCTATATCGGTTTTTAGTTGGTCATAGAAATTGCTGGCATAGTTTCAACTTTCTAAGATTGCACTTTTACAAAGAGCTGTCTATATTTAAAGTAATTGTCAGCAGTCAATATTTACTCTATTTATAGTCCGTTACACTTTATTTGCAGTGACATTTTTATAGTATTCGACATTCTGTAGGTGAGTATTATGAAAAATGATTGAGGATAATTTGTGTGCGGTTTTAAACAAAATTGATGATTTGCGTTTGGTAAGTACTTTTATAAATTGTTCTTATTCATTTACTTAATTTTTAAATATTTTGTTTACGAACAATTATTTCATTTATTTATTATTAATTTTATATTATAAGTTGCTGCACACTCTATTTAAAGTCTTTTGTCATTATACCATTTGTCTTATACTTACTTTTCAAACTTTTTAAACCTCTGTAGTTGAATTTTGTTGAAAATTCAATAAGAATTTTTGGCTGAGTTAACATACGTTAATAATATAATGGTGAATGACAGATGCAACTTTTTTTTGTATTTTATTTTAAAACTGAATAAAACTTTTGAGTTTTAGATATATTGGGGAAGTTAACTGTTAATAAACCTTTATAATATTCAAATTAAAAGTCTTTAACGTATACCTAACTGAATTCTTTAAATATTCATAATGAAAGCATTATAATAAATTCATATTTGTATTTGCAAAATAACCGCATTGCAGTTTTTGAGCAAACTAACTTTCTGCTTAAGATATATCATTTATTATTTAAATCCTTACTTTTCTTCTTAAAATAATCTTAATAGTAATTTTTTTAACAACTGAATTTTGTAACATATTGTTTTTTATACTTTACCACATCATAATTAGTATTATTTAAATTTCAGGAAAATAGAAAAGTTCCTGAACCTCAACCAAATGGTATGTAATTTTCTAAATTTATTTTTCCGATATTGCACAGTTAAATACAATTAATAATTTAATTGAGCACCCTTTTGAGTAAAATATAACTTTAGAAAAGTAATTATCTCTCCTGATTGAAAAAGTGATTTCCTATTAAAGGAATTTATTAAATATAGATATATATTTAATAAATATATATCTATATTTAAATATATATCTATATCTAAATATATATCTATATTCCCCAATGGAATTGACCTTGAATAGTATTTTGCAATTTTTTCATATAATAGTATTATAAGTAAAAAGTTCAAAATTGACTACATTTTTCGAAATTCTTGAATTATGTAAAAGAAGTATTCCTGCAATTGTATCAACTAAACTATTTATGAATTTAAGTAAGTAGTTGATAATTTCTAACTATGATTAACACTTAATTTTTTAAAGTTACTAAGATAAATAAATAAACAACAACAATAATAATATTAAAAAAAGAACTTTTGAATCACTTTAAAAAAAAGGACTATATTGCAATTGAAATACTTGATACTTGGTGTCATTCATAAACTGCAAAAGAAATTGAAACTTTTGAAATAGTTCTATTAAATTAAAAGTATTTCCTGCGATATTTCTGTCACAGTTTCAGAACAGTTTAGAAAAATAAAAAAAAAGTGAAAGAAAAAGAAACGCAATAGTTAAACTCAAAAATTTTTTCATCATCGGCTACTGATTTCTTCAATAGATTTGTACTTTTCACTGAAAAGGAAATAGAAAATCCTCCGTTTTTTTTCTTTTTCAAATTTAGAAATGTTATTATGTTATTGGAGGCAGACTTCAACTGAATAAAGAAATGTATCTTATGTAAAAATGACACAAAAAGTGCAAGCAACCTATTTCTGTTTTCGACATTTATTTTATGTGTTCTCCTAAAAAGGTAAGACTGAAACAGATCGTGTAGTTAAGATCTGTCTGTGTTTTTCGAATGAGAAGTCTATAAAACCGAGTTCTTGCACGGAGAAAATCGTTCTGGTAAAATTGCTGCACTGCTATAGTAATGAATTCTTTGGTAAAAAAAGAAAAAAAAATCCTGTTCATATGGTAACGGTTCACTGAAAATTCTGGTTTATAGATTAGTGTTCTTATTTCCACACATTTAGCAAAAATTAGAGAATTGAAAAGTAAAGTGTGTAAATGGGGTTTAGGTTATGTTCAAAGGTACCATGATAACACTTCTAAATTTTACAGCATTTATCAAACAATATAATAAATTCAAGAACCATATATTATAGTGAATTATACCAAAATGCTTCGGTTAAAACTTAACGAGATTTATGGTGTTCCAGAAGGCCAGGCATACGTTAAATTCCACCATATTGCGGTAATTTTGATAATACTTTTTTTTCCCCAGGGAAGATTAAGAAAATTCGAGCTATGTATTTTCATAGAAAACCCTTAAATTAAGAATGTTAAATTTTTATGAAATTTTAAAACATAATATACGAATTTGCAAATTTTTTTTCGTCTTTGAATAAATCCAAAGATATGCATATGTTGAGTTTTCAACAGCCTAAAATTATCAGGTGAAAATAAAAGTTTAAAAACCCGGTCTGAGTTATGAGAAAAAAATGTATATTTTGCATAAGATTGTGGAGAAATGAGTAGAAATATTGTATTAATCAAAATAATTATGGTATAATTTTCAGAAAACATCTTTTTTTCCTCCTCTTGTCACTCAAAACACATTGTGAAACCTTAGGACACAATAAAGTGAAATTTTTTGCATGCACCATTTTTAATTCGGATTTTTCTATGTTAAATTCACGGCAAAATATTTCAAAAGTCGAAGAGAAAAAAAGATCAATATCTTAGAAATTCAAAATCCTTCTATAGGCTTCTTTTCAAGATAAACCACTTTCAAAAATGAATTTAAAATCGTGTAAAATGTTGACAGGTAATTATGGAAAATGATAAGCAGCATGATATGGATAATCATTTTTTTTTAAACAAACGACGCTCAATAGAGCGACTCTTGTGAAATCGGACATTATAACGTGAGGTCGTTCGATCCTGAGTGTACGAAAATACCGTAATTATTAACTCCCTTAAGAAAATTAATTCTAATAAAGCAATTTTCGACTTTAGTCTCAATTTAGATACAAATGGAAAAAAGTTGTAATAATGCGACTTTACTTTTCTATGCTAATATACAGGTAAAAGTAACATTTGAAATAGTACTTTACAAGTGCGTCGAAAATAATAAGCTGGTTCTGGCTGCCATTTTTGATAAATAACACACGTTAGGATAACTGCGACCAAACATAAGACCGAACATATTAGTTCGAAAATAGACTACACGAGAGATAAATCTTTCACAAAAATAGTGAATCCAATTATCAATAGAACTCTATCAGTAGAACTCAAAACAACAGCGCTGGCATTATTTGCTATTTCAAATGAAGTTATGAATGAGGCAGACATAGAATACAAAAATTGCATCGGAATATGCGCCGATGGTTATCGTTCAAGATCCGGAAGGTTCGGAAGTATACAAGCACTTGTTAAACAAAAATCACCTCAATGAGTCTGGACACATTGCATGATCCACAGAGAAGCTTTGGCTTCGAAAGAAATGCGTCCTGGTTTAAATATTGTGTTAACTCAACACCTCCTAGAAAAGAGTAGGCCTCTGCACGGGTTACCATAAATATCCTTTAGTAGTCCAAACGTAATGACTTATTTCGTATTTTCAACCACTGCGCAGCTTAGTACCCCGAACGTAATGACATCTTTCTTATTTTTCATCAACTGCGCAGTTAACTTCGTCACATCGGACTACTAATTTGATCCGTGATGAGGCCTTCCTTATTCTAGGAGGTGTTGGTTAACTACGGTTGCTATATAAAAATGAGAACCCTGAGATCGAGAACTATTTCCGCTCTTTGTAATGACATGGCTTCAGTACATTCAGAGTTACTATTTAAATGCGAGGCAGGATGTTGTTTAAATGCGAGGCAAGATCACGTGAGAAATTTTTGCAACTCGTTGATGAATTAAGAGAAGGAATCGCCATTTTCTTAGGAGAAGATAACAGACCGTAAGCCGAGAATTTTCACTATTGTTTATTTGTGATGAAATTGAGCTACTTGGTCGTAATACTCGAGAAATTACATAACTTGAATCTTTAACTCCAAGGAGCAAATACACATATGTTGGATACGAGTGATAAAGTTAATGCTCTTTGTAGAAAATTGGAAATGTGGGGCAGAAATTTAAAGCAAAAAACTGAACAATATTTGCATATGTGGATAATTGTACTAAAACTTATAAGGCTAAGGAAGACCATAAAAAAGTTGCTTTTGTAACCATTGAAAATCATTTAGCCATGCTGGCAAAGAATTTCAAAAAGTATTTTCCTACCGACGACAAACTGATAGCAAGTTAGGAGTGGATTAGGAATCAATTTTATAAGACTCCCGAAGGAGTCTCTATTGATGAGGAGGAAAAAATCATAGATTTCACGACAAATGGCGAAACCAAAATACAATTTAGTAATAAATCACTATTTGAATTTTAGGCAGGAGGATGATTTTTCTGCACTGAAAACAAGGGCATTTCGCATTCTATTACCATTTTCATTATCCTACCTTTGTGAAACTGGATTTTGTGCTGTGGCTTCTTTGAAGACAAAATATAGATCACGGCTAAATATAGAAACAGATCTGAGAGTGGCTATTTCTAATATTAAGCCTCACTTCAAAAAACTTTGCTGTGCAAGACAGGCCCAAGGAAGTCACTAAAAATTATTAATGCTTTTTAAAAATTTAGTATGTTTTGATTAAGTATGGTGGGTAAGTCAAAGGTGGCCAGTGCTCCTAGCGTAGCTCACCCCCCAAAGTAAAATTAAATTTATTTTGAATCATAAGATGTCCCTGCTGCATTGTAAATCTTGCACGAGGCTGAATTGGAAGATATTTCCTTGAATGGCCTCCATTGTATGAAGTGATTTAATCTTTTGCAGTTGTCGTTCTAATTTCCGGGAGAGAAGATATTGTAATTTATATGTGTTTAAATTCTTAGAACTTTGAGTTATGATATGTTTTCTGAAAGTTTATTTCTTTTTCTTTAGCTACATTACTTTAATNGGCACGTTGTGCCCTTAAAATTCAGAGGCACAAACGATCCAAATGTGCCTCTGAAATCAGAGGTACATTGTGCCTTTCATTTTTAAAGGCACGTTGTGCCCTTAAAATTCAGAGGCACAAACGATCCAAATGTGCCTCTGAAATCAGCGGTACAGTTTTTAGAGTGTAAATGCGAAATAACCAATGATTTGACCGTAAATTACGACCACTAAAGATAAGAAACTAGGAAGTCATGCCATTCTTCTTTTATTAAAGGAGAATTCAAGGTGTTTTACATATATTTTCGGGTAACAGCAAAAGAAATAATGGTTTAAATAATTTCTTTAACAATTTTTCAGTATCAAATGACTATGTAAAATTTTTTTGTATCAAATTGCGGTAAAAAGTACCTGCACTTTGACAGCATCTTCCGTAATTTTTTTTTACCATAGAGTCCATTATTACCGTAATATTTTGTACAATATATTTTACAGTAATAATTATTAAACTACAGTGATTCGCAATAAATATTGCTGTAACAATTATGGTACATCAGAGTTTTTATTTTACAACATTTAACGGTAGAAATGCATTTTACGGTAAAAAGAACTGACACTCTGGGTGTCGGTATATTTTGTCACAATTTGATCTAGAATTTTTTAAGTGTAACTTTTGGTCGGTATACTGGAATGAAAGGTTAAGAGTGGTCCGTCAAATGGAGATTGAAATAACATTGAGTCTACGGAATACAAAAAGGCTCTCAATGCATCTGTCCTTATAATGGAAAGGTCAATGTAATGGGGATCGTACTACTGAGCGTAGACATTATTTTATTTGGATTTCACATCAAACATGAACCATCATACGAATATTTATTTTGTTTTTTTAGAGGTCTTACTTGAAATGCAAAGTGTTGGAATCTGTGGATCTGATGTTCACTATTGGAAAAATGGTCGAATAGGCGATTTTATTGTTAAAGAACCTATGATCGTTGGTCATGAATCAAGTGGCAAAGTTGTAAAAATTGGTAAAAATGTGCATCACTTAAGAGAAGGTATGCTTTCGATTTGATTTGACATTTTGATTTAAAGTTTTGTTTCAACTTACATTTAATTTTTAAAGAAATATATTGGTCGCACTTAGGTTAAATTTTTAAAATTAGGTTCATTCTATTTAGTTTGTTTTAATTTTTGACTGAAAGGTAAATTCAGTTGTTCTACAAGTTCTTAATTTGATGTTCTAAAATTAGTTATATCACTTTATGCATCCAATAATAAGTCTTTATAATAAAATATAAATAAAGTCTTTATAATAAAAATCGTATTTAAAGTTATAAACTACTATAAATATAATGCGTTTCAGTAGTTTGAAAAAAAAAATGTGTTAATGTAAAAAAAATTTTTGAAGCTAATAATATAGTCTTATATTTTAAACTGTTTCAGTGTTTTTAAGAAATAATGCAAATTTATTGAGTATTAACTACTAATAGTTTATAAGTCTAACACATTGTTTATCATCGACAGTAATTAGGCTAAATAATCAAGATCGAACTCACTATCTCATCTCTCCGTTACTGATTATTTTGAATTACTGGAAGCTTATTACACAGTATTATGAAAAATGAAAAAAAAATTATCTAATTATTCAATAACTTTCATGATTACTTCATTAGAATTTCTATAAATAGCTTCTACATGACTACTATTGCTACTTTTATTTTCAGTAAAAGGTCTATTCTAGAGATAAATGTGATAAGTCTTTATCACGTGTATCAGTACTTTGAAATCTGGTTCTTCAAATGAAAGAGATTAAGATTGAAGGAATACTCTCTTTATAATTTTTTTCAAATATCAAAAACTTTTATCAATCCACTTTTTATCTTTAACCAAAGCCGTTTTTTCAAAACAATCATGATAAAGAATCACGTACTGATACAATGAAAGTACAGAGAGTTAAGACTATTTTAAGATTTCTAAATGTGCAATTCTTAAGCCTTTAACGCTTGATTAAAGGGAGGGAATAATCGTGTGAAATGGAATATTAAGTAGTTAACTGTAATATTTATAAAACAACTCCTCTGCCGCTATTATTTGGATAAAAAAAAACAGAAAAATTAAAGAACTTTGAAACTTAACGTTAAACTAAAATTTATTTCATGAAATTCTTAGCCCGCTTAGTTCCATTAACCTGAAAGAAAAGCCGCGTAAATTTCCAATGGTTAGTCCGAATACAAGTAAACTCAACCGCACAACTTTACAACTTATATTATCACCAAACCATTGTTGATAATGTGTCGGTTGGCGACTATAAATCTGGTAGTTTCACTTTTCCACCAGAACAGCAAATTTCAGCTGTTTCATTCTTAAATTTAAGAGCACTACAAAACACACATAAATGATTTATTTTTCCTATGATAACTTGGATAGAGACTATAAATAGTAATTGGAAAATAGTGAAATACACTAAGATTTAAACCAGCATATTGGCGGCGTTTGAATAGAGAAGTGAGTGTTCTATCGTTTTATATTCTTACTTTCCATTGTTTTGATGTTTCAGACAAACGGGCTTGAGCAATACATTTTAAATCGGTAACCTGTCTTCCTTGCTGTTGCTCAGATGTTTCAGAGGAATGGGCTTGAGAGTTGTGCAATCGATCGATAACCAGTTTTGATTACTGTTGCTCAGATGCTTCAGATTTTGCATTTAATTATGGTCAGAGATGTATTTAATTGATGAAAAGTATTTGGCAATTTCCCGCTTCGTTGTAATCAAGCTTATTCAAGGGCGTTTGAATAAGTAATGTTTTTTGTTTTACCACTTGGAGTGTAAGCGAATAAATGAGAAGGTCGTCCGACACGTGACCAGGTCAGATAGCTGTCCGTGGGAGAAGCAGGGATTTTTTGGGCTTTGTTGATGGTCATGGCAAAAGCAAGTCGCACCGGAATCTGCAAACGTTTAAATTCAAATGGCATATCTGTGGGGGTCATTGGAATACACGGTATCAGAATATCTCCTTTAAATTTGCTTCTTAGAATATTAGTTTCGAGGATATATTGATCATTATTATTTTCACTGAAAGACGGGTACCATTACAAGGTCTGGGTGAGTTGATGTTTCGGAAGAGAATGATAGGTACTCCCGTTTTCAATGATAAAACGAGCGGCTGCATATCTGGCAAATCAAGTGAATTCAGAAATTCAGTTGGGTAGTTTACAACCTCGTTTTGAGCTATTACATTATCCATGGATTTATATGTTCTTGCATAACCTGGAATTTCATTTAGAATGTGATGTCATGTACATCGCTTTTTCTTGCTGCTAATATAGCACGTTTATCAGAACTGGTCAAAAGTATTGAAAGTCTTGCGGCCTTGCGGAATTTTGTTTTTAATGTAAATTTGTAAATTTTTCTTCTTTTTGTTTTCTACTTACAACTGTAAGCCTCATGCTATACTTTGTGGTGCATGAGGAGTTTTAAGTCGTTTAAATAAAAAAAATTTCGCAATTTAATGTAGATCAAACATCACTAACGGCATTTTAAACTTTCATTGCTAAATATTAATTTCTGGCAGTGTACATATTCATTGTGTTTTGAGCAATAATAATTTCTCTTCGATATTAAAAACTCGAAAGTACACGAGTATTTTTCAAAATTCGAATACGTCCGAATATGTTTATTGCAGTTTTAAATAATTTTTCATGAATTCTTTTTTAAAAAAACT